ACACAAAACCTTCATGTATAGAATACACTGTGGTTGTAGTAGCACAATCAATGATTGTATGCTTGTAGATAAGTTCCAACCCCAAAAGAACGTTATCTGTTAAGATCACAGAGACAGATAAACCGTACTTCAACTAAAAATACTTTACTAGATTTATACATGACAAAGAAAAGAGCATGGTTGAGTAATTAGAACATATGGCCAAGAACTAGAAGACTTAGACTTTGAATCCCATTGCAAGAATTATAAATACGTATGCGGTCGGTGTGTCTATATGTCTCGTATATGCAACACGTGTCCTTCGACTTTAAAACACAACACATATAAATAAACACTATTCACTAATACGTCAATTAACGTAACAAAATAATGACTCAGTATTTTCGCATTTGTTAACTTCCCATTCAATTCTCCCAGAAAAATTCTGCTTTGGTCACTAAACGCCAATTAGGCAACCGGAAATGATAGAAAGTCAGCCCCGCTCTGGCAAACAATAGAATTATTTGATTTAGTATCCGACAGTCCATTTTGTTTCGCGGCCAGCTCAACATACACAAGTCCATTAATCCTGAATCAATAATAAATAGGGGTCAACGATGGGGATGAAAAATGGGGGGGCGGCGTTTACCCCCTGGAATAAAAGGGCGCAGGGGGGGGGGCGGACAGAGTACCACGGCGGCGGTGCCAGGAATTCGATTGAATATCAATCGGCGGTAAAACAGAGAGTTAGAGCTGAAAACGAATGAGAAGGGGGAGATAAGGGGGGTAAAAGCGTTGATATTACACATGGAGAAATGTAGAGACATGGACAAGCAAAAAAAATAATAAAAAAAAATTGGGGAGTCGCATGTTTCGGTGCCCCTAGGGGCAACACCCCCCACGCTCCCTGGACACCTCTTGGAGCCTTGCCCCCCACCTATTCACCCCATTTTCCCCAAGTGCATTGAAATGTCAACATCCCCGACTGTGTAACATACCCGTTTTCCTCATTAACTTAATTGATTTCTTAATTTCTGCGGGTTTTTTTTTTCCATCCCCACAACGTTGAACTTTGGAAAACACAAGGACAGATAACCCAACCTCATTTAGGGGTTGGGGGGGGGGGGTGAATGTCGATGGGGTGGTGGTGGTATTAATTATGTAAAGTGTTAGGAAAAGAAAAACCACTATACGACAAATCCCATCAAAGATACTTAACAGGGATCTATTCATGAAAAAGATCGTATATACAAAGGTCTATAACATACAATGATCTAAAAGATCGTAACAAAGATATATTTCTTGGAAAAGAGCTTATTACTGGATAAACAAAGGTATGTCATATACAGAGATTTAAGCAAAGATCTATCTCCAAGCAGAAATAAAAATGAATATAAATACCCTTTGTGCCTTATCTGATATCTATTCTAGGAATAGACCTTTACTGATATCTATTATAAATAAATACATTAACTAGTATCTATTCTAGATAAATACCTTAACTGCCATCTATTTTATATAAATACTTTAAATGACATCTATTCTAGATAAATATCTTAACTAGTATCTATTTTAGGTAAAGACCTTAACTGATCTTATATTTTAATGATCTAATTTAGGATTAGACCTAAATCTAGGCAAAGATCTCCACACAGTCAATCTAGTCAAAGACCTGTTCAAAATACTACAATGCCTTCCTCCGACCGCGTAGAATAATACAACTGACTGCTTCTCATTTAAAAACCTAGCAAAACTTTAAAAAAATATTTTTTCGTCAATGCCACACACACTCAAAAATAATTTTAAAAATCGTTAAAAAATCTAATTAAATTTGAATCAAGAAAAGAAAAATCAAGACCCCCCTCCCCCCGGAACTTTTAGAATTGCATTATTCAATTCGGCCAAACGGGATTTACGCAGGAACGAGAATCTAGGCCCAACCCGCGGGGTGGTGCTATTTTTAGTAACGCGGGTATAAAACACTCCTGCATCGATTTCACGTAGCCACTGCCCGTTTGAACTTCACCGAACAGAAAACGTATAAAAAAAAATCGTCCAACTCTTTTGTGCGGAAATTTGATGGTCAGATTCATAAATTCTAATGTAAGGGTTCTAAATTTTTCTTCTTCCAGAAACCCCAATTTTCACGTTTAATAGAATGTTCAGATAAATTTATGAAATTTTCTTTTTCTTTATACATGTAAAATATACACTACAGAAGAGTTATTTCCTGTCATAATCCGTGATTGATGTGTAATTATAATATACGAAGCAACCAAAAAAGGAAACCCCCGTTTTGAGAACCCTTGTGAATCTATAAATAGATTAATATCCAGGGTTATGGTGCAAAACAACATAGAAAAAAAAAACCTCACCAGAAAATTTATTCTAAGGAATAAACCAAGAACCACAACTGATCACACTCATTGCCTTTTAAAAACTCAAGCGA